CCTCGTGTGGAATCCCCTTGTCCTCAGCTGTTTCCAGTTGTGTTGATTATTTTGGTGTATTTTAGTCCGTGTCTGTGTGCCTCTCATGAGTTCAGTCATTAACCTTGTGAAGTCGCTGTTTGTTCCTGCCTGCCTGCCTGCCTGCCTGTCTTTACCCTGATTAAACCCCGAGTTCACCTGATTCCTTGATTCCTTGAGTCCTGCTCCTGTTTCATGTTGGGCATGTTGGGTGGAGCCCCTCCTGATACTCGACCTGACGGTGTTTACGCCTGACGTCTCCGCCGCCACTTCGCCCAGGTTGGCGCCTGAAGCCACCGCTGATTCACCCGGGCGTGCACATGAAGCCCGTGCCTTCCAGGGTACACGCTGAGCCGTAAAAGGTGCCAGGTCTCTGGGGGATGCCATCCCTCAGATTCCCAAGTTCCCTATAAAAGGGGGGTCCGTTCCAGTCCCCGTGGTTCCTGATCCAGTCCTGGCGGTTCCAGTCCCCGTGGTTTCTGCTCCAATCCCCGTGGTTCCCATGCCTCCGGTTCCCATTCCCGATTCCTTGAGTCCTGCTCCTGTTTCCCTGGTCCGTGCCCTTTGTGCCATAACACCACTAGTATGTTTATCAAATTTGTGGTGCAGTTAGACAGACATTTAGTGTAGGTGCTTGACAATCATTCTGCTACATGAGATGCTCCAGCTCAAGAAATACAAACGGGATCCAAGCAAAACAAATAACGGCAGGGCAACGCATTTCTCTAGCTGCCCAGCTAGTATTTGCTGACTAAACTAAGGTTGACATATCAAGCCAGCGACCTTGTGTTATCCTAAATCAGTGGAAAAGGTCATTTTAGTAATTTATCTCTGATAATGTTATACTATTACATGTTAGAAACAAAAAAAGTGTTGCAAGTTTTTTGTTAGGATGAAACTATGTTGTCTGGATAGTGGAAATAGTTATACAAACACAACATTTCTGTTTCGTCAAATTATTTTTACACAGATGAATGGAAACGATTCCAAGGATTATACAAAAGAATTGCGGTCAGCTCAAATTATTTGATCAGGCGATAATGTAATGATACTGAAAACATGCTTATGTACTAGTGCACCAGCAGTGAAATAAAACTGCCACTACTCCAGACACACAAACAAGACATTAAAGTCGAAATCATAGTGTAATTTAAGGAAACCATCCATCCATCCTTTTTTTATACTCGCTTGTTCTATGTAGGGGTGCAGTGGCGATTTTACCGAGGGTGCAATAGCACCCCCTACTGATCAGATGAAAATGCTATTTGAACATCCATCCATCCATCCGTCCATCCATTTTCTGAAACCACTTGTCCTATTCAGGGTCACAGAGGGTCCCATTCAAACACATCAAATTCAATTAAATGTTTGTAAATGTGACACATTTGGCCAAATATACAGACTCCACACACATAGAGTTGGAATGGAGACTCAACACCTGGGACCGCATTTATCAAAGCTGCGTACCCACAAAAAGACACTTGATATGTGCATATGCAACTTTTTACACAAAGTTTCTGATGACCGCAATTCACACCAACCCGCTCCTTCATATGAAAACCCATTAAATCTAAAACCACTAATTGGAATGTATTTTCATTAGCCTATTTTTATTACTATTAATTTAATTTATTTAATTCTACTAGACTACCATTTCGTTCTGTTATCCAAAGACTATTCGCCTTTGATAATTTAATTTGCTATTTCAAATATTACTTGTCAGATCTTCCCATTAATTGAAAATATCTGCATAATTGCAATAAACGTGAATTAGGCATCAGACATATAAAAAAGCCTTCTGTCAA